AATGTTCTAAATGGTATGTAAATTCAAACTGAGACAAACCTTAGCAGATATGTTGACGAACTCTTATGTCCTTGTGAAAGAGATTCACAATCGATTTCACTTTAAGATAAGACGGAATATCAAATTAGCTATATTATTTTCAGTACTTCAATATGAACTGTTAATTGTGTAAAAAATTATAGAATGATAATTTCCTTTAACAAATAATTGAGTCAAGTTCCTATGCATAGGTATTGAGACCAAATACGTCCCATACACTCGACCTACTTTGGTATTGAAACCAAACGTGTCGTCAATTATATTCACAAGCCATACGTAAGCATGTCAGCTGTTCTATGGTCTAGCTTCGTCAAGTGGGGTTTTGACAGATTTTGATATATTGAGTTATATATTACGTATATATATAAAGCTGTACACGATTGTCATGGGTTAGTATCAGGTGGCAAGATTGCACGTACGGCTAAAGGTTATTTCAATACGATAACACCTTTGAATGACCCCCTGTTAGCTATCTATCATATCCTAGGTGTGAATGACAAATTTATCATCATCAGAGTATGTGCATTTAAAAATTGAAATTGAACTGGAATAATTTACACACCTTACTTTCCAAGTTCCTTCCCTAGATGACCGTTTCATGGACTGCGATAAGTAATAAGACACTAGACAATGTACGGGGCTTTGAAATTAATGATAGCGACTGGTGTACTGGTTGGATTCTCTCATCTCGTACGTTTACAAATACACCAAAGTAAACGGATTACCGCCCTATGTCTATGTACACTGTGCCCCCATCCCCAATACCTCATTCAGTGATATGCACAGCGTGAAATCGATCTATTGGTAAGTGTCCTTTCTGTACAACCGTACATCCGAGACCTCCATGATTTTTTACTAGACCTCCGCGAACACTGCCATCGCCACCAGTCTTGGAACATGTAGGGAAAACGCAAATAACGAGCGTTTGTTCCAGCGCCATATACTTCATTAATACATGTGTTCTGTAATATCACGTTGTTTTTCCTGTGACGTCAGTTAAATTCTAGGTTTGATGTAGAAAATAAATACCAACAAACTCGAACCTGAATGAACTTTAACATGCCATGCTCTGATGCAAACGTAAAATTAAGACATGAAATAAAACCAAAAAGGTCACAAAAATATGATTACATCAACAAGAAATGCAACCCCGTGCTATGCTTGTCGGTGTAGAGTAATAAGTCACATCAACAATTTGTAGTAAGATCCCATTGGTCACTTAACATGAACTGGATCGAGTTGAGTTAGGCACTCATTATACTCTCACTTATCGCTTTTCTATGGCCAACATAAACCTTTACTAAACCGCAGTCCGTGCTAGTGATGTCGAAATTAGTACCGTTAAACCTGTATATCTATCGGTGCGGACACAATTACAAGAACAGTAATTCCAAATTTTTAAATCACAAACCCTCTTCATTTACCCCACACATAGACTGACAGAGCACGTCCATTGTGTATAACCGTACTTCAATTGATGTCCATGGTGGGGACATGGGGAGGTGTCTATTTCATGCTTCAGTGAACTTCCTGAATCCTGACGAATCGTATTTTAAGTGGTTTAAATCGTAGTTTTGTCCGTCACCAGTCTTATAGAATTACCTGTGTCAATCGAAACACACCCTCTATTTCTTTTTATGATATGAAAAATGTGTGTTATTGAAAAAGTCACCTTTCCTGTTTCGCGTGACTATTTAACTTTGTGAACTCTGGATATGTAGTGCAAACATATATATATATATATATATATATAATATATGGGCAAGGAAGAAATAACAACAATCCAGACAAAGGGAATTGTCAATTTTTCAGGGCAATCCGCCCCTTTTTCAATACAGAAACATGAACATTTACATATAACAACATATAACAAGGGTAAACAGTCACTATGAAACAACACTACAGCATAAATTACATAAACCAAAAACAAATAATCACTTTTGAAATATGCTGCTGTAATCGCATACCCAGTACCTAATTATTGTAGAACATTCATCTTGAATACTTGAGGTCAAGTGAATTAATAGAAAAGATCTAAACATATAGACAGTTGGCATACATCATTTCGGTATAACATCACCACGGGATTACATTTTCTAAACCCATAATATCACACAGGAATGTGACAGGAAAGAACATTTAACAAACAGACGAGAACTGAATTGTGGTTATTCAAGTACACGCTTTTGTTTTTGTTAGGGTATACGCACTATTTAATGTGGTATGAAGACGTAATAGAGTCGGTCAATACAAACATACTGGTTCACACTAATCACAATCCATACATGTCATCACTGGTATGGGGTTTCAGTAATATGATGATGCATAATACCGTTTTACTTTTATCGATCTGACCACATACATCAGGACAGATGACACATGTGGTGCAGAAAAGGTTTAACCTACCTGAACACCTTGCTATTTTTTTGTTTAGCGCTCATGGTCGCTTTTTTCAGTTCGAGAGATCTTGTCTTTGTGTGTTGACGATTTGGTACACTTTATATTGATCTTACTTTTATATTCCACATTGCTATGGTAGATAAATAACTAGACAGGTATATAAGGTAATATACGTAATAGTTAAGTCGTCTTCACGAAGTATCAGAACAGGTATCAAATACATTAAAGTGTTGTCCACACCTATGTCGGAATAGACTAGGTGTATAAGATAGTGTTAATGATAGCCAACGTAGACTTAGTGAATACCTACTGCACTGACTTGCACAGGTAATATGTAATTAAGGTAGTGTTGGACTTCAGGTGTAATAACGTATATGGCTTGTAATTTATACCTCAATTAGGTTTATGTACCGACAGTCAATGTCTATATTTACCTAGCATTTACTTGTTACGGAAATGCCATATATACATGCCGTAATATTGATGTTAATTCAACCAATATACATTTGAATACATGCACTTTAAGGTATTCTCCAGAGTTTGTAGTGTGTGAATTCCTCTTTGATGTTATGTCAGCGTGTTAAACAGTTTGCATTTTATTTCTGTTCGTTACATCAATGTATTACAGTTTAATTAAGTTTTACTAGCCTCGTCAAACTGACATTGTAGGGGTGTTTGAGTATACTACAAGTGCAAACTTCAAGGATTTTAATTAAGAGAAAACTGTTTTTTATCAAAGCAACCGTTTTAATCTGTCTGTGCCATGTCAGTTTTGCCTATTGACACCGATTAGATATAATCAGATATTGTTATGTGTCTCTTTGTAAGATATAGAAAGTATTTATTATTTGTGCCCAGCTGATCCCCCCAAATTACACTTTGATATTTTGTATTGGCTTGCTAGATTGTATTCCGTATTAGAAAGTGTACACCTCACTCGATAGTTTGTTTATGTGGACCATATATCCGTACTGTCCTTAGAGCTCTATACATGTGTCTCATATGCACGTACTTTGCATAAGCTGATTGGTCAATCCTGATGAACGTACTTATGTACATAACATATAGAGTATAACTGTTGGATAGGTGTATACAGTTTAATACTCACGAGTTCCAAGTAACAAGTCAGAGTCAGTGCATTTTATTGATAAATACTAGGATTAGACATAAGACATGAATCATGCATTCGTTCTATCAATAATACAATACTTTGTATCCCAATAATATCCGGTAACAGACATGGAATAAGGTCATTTAAAGTAAGCAAGGGTCTCATACTTTCATATTTTAACATCAGATGTCTTTGTTTAGTTGTGAAACGTTTGAAATGATATACCAAATTAAATAATTGTGTTACATACAAATGGAGCTGAGAGGAGGGTGTAAAAGTTCCCCAGAGTTCCTGACATAGTAGACTTTGGAATATTATTGAGTATTAAGGAATAATGTCTGAGAAAAAAAGTATTTAGTCATCAGTGTTCCTTACACAGGTCTGCTGGGCATAATCAAATCCATTACGTGTGTGTTCTCTCTCCCTCCTGCAGGGTTTGCGCTCATATATATACCATTAGTCTATTAAGATTACAACTAGCAATTAATACACTTAAGGATATAAAAGGTTCAGACCTTCTTCTTGCTTTTGAAGAGTTTAGTCACATTAAGTAGGATATATTTATGCATTGCACCAATGAATTATTTTGAACCATTTCACAACGTATTATTTGCATTTTTTTTCTATGAATATACATATTTAATGTTTTAAGAATATTTCAACAAATGGTGCATTTATAATTTTATCGCTGAATTTATAAATTCGCGACAGGTGGTAAGACATTATTATGGCCACAGTTGTATATTGCCTTATTTAACGCTCTAAGTGTCCCCAATGAGTTCATTTGTAACTAGCTTATTAATATTCTTTCACAATATATTTGAAATGTATGAAACATTTTATACAAAAATATCCGTTAACCTTTTTCCTGTCTGCTTTGAACATTTCCAAATACAAGCCCATTGTGTAAATATTCATGTGATTTTCCCTGATGTAGTCAAGGTGTAATACAAGCCTTAATTTGTATGGAGTTTTAAACGTTTTTGTTCTGCCATAAGCAGTTATCCCAAATCATAACGACGTATTCAACTGACTGTTTGGTAGATGTAAGTAAACTTGTACATCTTTAGTAAGATATTGCTCTCAAGTAAGGTATTTTTATATAATACCTTTCAGTGAATTCATTATGTGTTTCCCTCGGTGATGTATTTAAAGGATGGCGCATAGTATGTGTAAGTGTAAACATACCTCGTGCTTTTATTTGACATTCTGTTATCATGTTGGATGGAAATTTGTGTTGTGATTCCAGCAATGTATCGGGAATAATGACACAATATTTTCGTTTTTGTTTGTTTTTGTCTTACAGCGTGTCTGAATTAGCCGGAATACCATCGTACTTCTGATGTTGGTAACATGTAATTTACAGGATTTTATGTCACAAATGCATTCCTAATTTGTCTTTTATACATTGTTATATTATATACATAGTATTTAACTCTTTTGTTTGTAGAATATTTGTTTCCTGGCAGTGGTAAGATTATCATTTACCAATTTATTACTGACAACCATTGTAATGAAACACATCGACATCATTTATCATACGTAGACTGGTTCCTCCTCATTAGACAATTCCTGTTGCTCACTCCCACTATGAATGCTGTGTTAAATATGTCCTGGTCATGAAATCATTTAATACGCTTGGAATCATTAAGAGAAACTACGGTAAGATAAAGTTGTCGATGTCGTTTCATTCACAATGGTTTTATACTTGTTTAATATGCACGTGTAATAATGGTTAATGAGCTAGAGGGAATGACTAGACTGTGCTAGAAAAGGGAGCTAATTACAATTGTATGACGAAAGCATATATTGACAGCAAGCAAACTGGGCTAGTGGACCACTTAGATATGCTTTTATCTAGTTATATTTTGTATAACAATAATTTAACGGTTAAACTATATGATGTAAACAGAGTAATGTGAATGCTCGTTGAATACTCATATATAATCATTGTTTAACGTTTGTAATAACTTCTTACAATTATCTTTATTATTGTTGAATCGATAAAAACAATAATATAAAGCATGGTTACACAACACAAGGTATAACACCAAAACTACAACAGAATTTGAAACACTAAAACTGTAACACAAAGGCAAAACACTAAAACTGTAACACCAAGGCAAAACACTAAAACTGTAACACAAAGGCAAAACACTAAAACTGTAACACAAAGACAAAACATTAAAACTGTAACACAAAGGCAAAACACTAAAACTGTAACACAAAGGCAAAATACTAAAACTGTAACACAAAGACAAAACACTAAATCTGTAACACAAAGACAAAACACTAAAACTGTAACACAAAGACAAAACACTAAATCTACAACATACATCTAAGTTATAACACGAAAATTACATAAAAAATCCTAACACTAAAGTACAAAATACATATAACTCTGAAACTACAACACCAATACCAAAATTGCAACAGAAGTCCTTACGGTAACACTGCATTATTTACATGATATATATATATTTTATAACTGTTATTTGCTGTAGTTAAGCATGCGGGGTTATGGGCTGTCTTTACATGTCGTTATAAATGTTTATGTACTTAAAAATGTATTTGTGGTTATAAATGTATATTAAAACATGAGTCACAGTAACGCTAATCATTAATTTGGCCATGGCTATATTTCGTCGAGACTTATCAGTTCAGTTTGTTCTGGGGGTTTATAGGCTTGGAATGTATATTTTGGACATTATTTATGACAATCATAGAAATCTTTAGAAGTTATATCGAAAATCTTAAAATAAAAGTAATTCATTTTATTTGAAGATATGAAATCATGGAACTGTCGATTATGAGTCAATTCACATCATAGCAATTGATTATTCCGCTACTCCAAACTAGGGTCTCGTTTCTATTTCAATAGGGCAGATTTTCAGTGTGATATAGAAACGTTTAAATTCACACACAGCTGATGTAAAGAGGACAGCTAATTTCAGTTCACGTTTTATCGAAATCATTACGACCTAGTTTGTTTTTAATTGGTAAACGTTCAAATAAATGGTAAATTTAAATGACAAACTTATTGATTAATGTGAAATAAATTATATTCCCAGTGTATGTTTTAATACAAAAATAGAAAAACCTATCATAGAAAAATATTCGTTTCCTATTAAGTGTCTATGGCGATATTTACTGTTGGGCTATTAGAATTATAATATATCTGTTTAGTGCTTGTATATTTAAGCAAATTTAACAAAATATACCTCACTTTGTGTTAAAGTTCATATACAATATCTTTGTCACTTCAATGTAAAAATAAATGCCAAATTACGCTCTTATTTTGTTAGCAAAATTAACTTAAAGGATTCAAGTATCCCAGATAATTGTTGAATTCATTTAAAGCTGTGGTACTTTATTTTTCTGCTATAAAACTGAAATGTTGCTACTTTTACAATCATTTTTGTTAGTTGTGTTTGCGATCCCAGATGACATTTTCATGTGCATATTTAACTCGTATATGTAATTGCAATTTCCATTGGATTTCTCGATTGTATAGCGATATAAAAGGAATTATAATTATGACTTTTCTACATGTATCTTTTTACTGTGTGTAAACGTATATCTGTTATAAAACAGATAGATATATCCTAAGACAAAATTAGCTAAAACTATTTCGTGCGCGTTTGAAGAATCGGAGTCTCTCTATTCAAGTACATGATCAATGATATGCTCATAGGATACTGCCGCCGATATGATCAACCCAGGTGAGTAGTACGTATTCGATAACGTGTTCCGTTGGCTATTGTTGAGCCCCTTAATCGAATCTATCGATCGTACATTATTTCAAAGAAGCTCACATCAGAAACATGATGGTATACGAAATCAACCGCATTTGCCCTCAAGACGTATTCTGAATTTTGAACAATGTTTGGAAAAATGATAATGAAGCAACGACTGCTATGGGCAGGAAGACAAATCTGAAGAACCTCTGAGAAACAGTCTGGTTTGGCCGGGTTGAGGACTGTTGTCGTCAAGTTATTGTAGGGTAAAGGTGACTAAGGTGACGGAGGTAATACTCCCTAAACCTAGAGAGTATGCCATGTCCATCGAACAACTCGTTGTCATTACCTCCCTTATCACAGCTGAGCATATCCTTCAACAACTCAACAACTTGTTGTTGGACAAAACACAACCATTAGATCAATCTCCTAGAATTTGTCAAAGAATATCTTAGTGTAGAACGAAATGATGATTATCTAGACACGAACGAAGCATTTACACCTGTAAGCCTCCCACGGTGCTAATATTCCTGCTGGAGACAGGATGCAATTGAATGCGGAAATCGGGTTAAGAAATGTTTGATGGGACAATGCTTATAGAAACAAGCCAGCTGGTCTTCGTGACACCATAACATCTACCAACGAACCTTGATTGTGTTCTAATGCAAACCTATGTCTGGAGGTACTCCTTTGTATGCCATTAATCTCAGCTGAACGTTTTGGGTTGACGACGCAGTGTGACTGTCGTTGCTGGTACTGTTATATGCTCACATATATTTCGATGTGGATCCTTATGTTCTTGAATCCAGAGTTGCCGAAATATACGTCCATCGCTTGGTGAATCTTCGTGTGAAGAGACAGATACGACCTTGTATGAAATATACGTCCATCGCTTGGTGAATCTTCGTGTGAAGAGACAGATACGACCTTGTATGAAATATACGGCCATCGCTTGGTGAATCTTCGTATAAAGAGACAGATGCGACCCTGTATGAAAACTCAAATCGTCCTCAGCCACCCATAAACATTCTGATTATGACAGTTTTGATTTACCCTGTTCATAACATCTTGACAAAATAGTACACTTTGAATAAACTATTATGTTATAACAGAACACAACACTGTAGAGGTGCAAATCCAAGAATGTTGTCCATTTAAACACACCAGAAAGGTTCTATATTTTCTTATAATGACCTTGCACCAACCTTCGTTTGGAGGAGATTGGGGCAACCCCAAATTAAGCCCAACCCCTACTCCAGTCTTTGGCTATGACTTGTTCTGAGGTCTACCAGATAAATACGCTGGCTTCGTGTACGTACGCGCCTGGATATTCTTGTATAGATATATAGATATTGTTTGCTGTGAACACTCCTTGTTGTACTAACGGACGTTTTTACGACGAGCAAAATTATCAAAACAATTAAACATTATTCATTGATATACGTTCAAAGATGCTATATAAAACTTTTTAATCGATATTTTGTAAACAAATTGATATACGGCGTATTTGCAACAGAATTAGCAACATTATATATGATTAGAGTTAAAGGCAAGCACACCGACTGGTGCCATAACCCCTCTGTGACCAAACAGACGGCTTTGTCCAATTCTCGTGCCATATCTTTGTGTTCCGTTTGTCAAATACGTATTCCGATAAACTGAAATAAATAAATATTTGACAATTCGATAGCGACGGGAGAGCGGTGATAACCTAACACTGAAATATACAATGTCCGTGCTATTTAGCCAACCGATCAATATCGATCCCGACGGCACTTCTCGACGACTATTTTTCGGATATATTTTAGTGCTTCTGATATTTCCTACTCCAAACCACCGATGTTTGTTTACGATTTAACTGACGTACGTCGTTGTGGTGAAGGAGATTACGAGCGTGTGTTCCAGCTGTACAGTTAAGACGTTTGAAGGGTCAACGTATACTTACAAAGTTTCCTTTTAAAGTAGGACTTCACCTGTTATGGCGCTTTCTTGTTACATGCATTTCCGTTAATTACTACTAGTTTACCCAATAGTATCATACATTCAGAGACATTCTGGGTTTGTGAAAACTCGTATAATACGTTTAAAAATCAGTCTGGGTTTTTGAAAATTCGTTTAATACATTTAAAAACAGTCTGGGTTTGTGAAAACTCGTATAATACATTAAAAAATAGTTCGGGTTTGTGAAAACTCGTATATTACTTTCCGAAACAGTCCGGGTTTGTGAAAACTCGTATAATACATTCCGAAACATTCCGGGTTTGTAAAAACTCGTATAATACATTCCGAAACAGTCCGGGTTTGTGACGGGGAACGGATACAACAGTTATTGGAGTATATCTATAACGTATAGTCATGTACACATCACCGCTGCCACCGAAAGAATAACACAATTCTGTTGCTATGGATTTTAATATACAATTCTGTCGCTATGAACATAAAAACATGCATGTATGGTGTGGTACTATGGATATAAATATACACCTCTGTTGCTATGGACATGAATACACACCACTGTAGCTTTGATTATGATTGTTTACCTCTGTTGCCATGGACATAAATACACACCTTTGTTGCTATGGACATGAATACCCACTACTGTTGCTATGGATATTAATACACACTTCTGTTGCTAAGGACATAAAAACACACCGCTATTGCGATTGACATAAGTCCACACTTCTGTTGCTATGGACATAAATACACACCGCTGTTGCTATCCACATTAAATCACACTTCTGTTGCTATGGACATCCAAAGCATCACAAATGAGACTTTTGTCTTGTTAAAAAAACAATTCCTGAACTACAAAATTGAATAAAAATCGTACCAATTGATCTTGTCATTTTGTGAAGAGATTGAACCTTCAGCGCTCTCAAATTTAAATGGCCACCGTAATAACTAGTGTGCCAGATTTAGTTTATTGAAATCCTATTGGAAGCTAGGAGGGACTTATACGATCAACACTTATATGTCCTTAGATGAGTACTGCCACGCCCCATGATTATAATTATGTCACATAATATCTGGTGCTTTACAGCAAAACAATGACATCAATTTTAGAAATCAAGGGGGAAACATTAGCGTTTTCAATCAGTGTTATATCTCCGGAGATATTAGCGTGTCAATCAGTGTTATATCTCCGGAGACATTAGCGTGTCAATTAGTGTATATCTCCGGAAACATTAGCGTGTCAATTAGTGTATATCTCCGGAGACATAAGCGTGTCAATTAGTGTTATATCTCCGGAGACATTAGCGTGTCAATCAGTGTTATATCTCCGGAGACGTACAAGCGTTTTTGTGTTGGAGGAAGGGGTCACGCAGTAGCATTTTATCAGATATTGGTAATATTTGTAAACATTCCATTATTGGTATTATATATAACACTCCGATGTCGATACATTGTAATGATATCAAACTCAAATATAACAGCCCGGTAATTGCTAAAATATGTAATAATCTTCTGTATGTTAAATTCATTGTTTGGCGAAATAATTAAACAATTCTCCTTAAATCTTATATTGTTGGTTTCAATCATTTCTTATCATATACTCAATATGTTTTTAAGTCTTCAAAGCATGCTTAACTTCGGATAATAAAGATAAGTTAAGTTCAATTTGGATTACAATAATGATATTGACATGTCTATGTCTGAGGGAAAACTGGAATCAATACGCTCACACAATCTTTACCGTGATCCGTCGTGTGAATCATGGCAAAGTCATGACATTTCAATATTTTTTAATAGTAACCATGTATAAAACGTATGATTGACACCAGAGCTATGAATTGCTATCTGAAGAGCTCATTGAAAATGCGCGGATCCTATCTATCCGTTAAGGCGATGAAAACAGTTGACGCAAGACTTACATTTAAACTTATCTGATTATTACATTAAAAATGAATTACATATTGGACTCTGAGATTTAAATTCATAGAATAAATGGATTTGGGGTAATCTTTATCAGTAATCGGATATAGGAATATTTCATATACTGTAAAACCGAAACGTTTAATGACCAAACCAGTTCAGAGTAGTTATAAGGTACCATATTTACATCAAAAGGTGACAGTGTGGCCACGTGGAAGTCGTATGTGGATTTGGTGTATATTTATAAATTGAAACGACAATTACGAAGATCAATAAAATAAAACACCACAATATATGTTACTACATTTAATAGTGTAAACTACTCCACATCAAGGTACCTACTGAAGTAACATAACGTGTTAACGTAGCGTACATATTACACATAACAAATGCATTGATTTTTTGCCGAATAGATTTTTTAAATTATTTTTTATCAAAAAGTAATTTAGACATATCTGAATGATCTAAATCTAAATATATCTTTCGAAATAAATAGGGTGATTTGTTTGAAGATCCTAATGGTATTAAGTTGACTACGGGGAAACGATATTTTGATATGACTAATGTGTCTGTGTATTCGTAATAAAGAGTTGTATGATTAAACGGTTTAGTTCTAACAAACAGTGCTGTAAAGAGTGTTACTATCCCAGTCAATCATGTACTCTGCAGTTACTATCGAGCCTTGGAACAAAAGTATCACCCTTTAGGCATGTGTAAACAATCTCCAAACTCCATCAAATTGCTCTAATAATTGTGATCAGAATCGTTAGCAGTGGGGCGGAAAACTTCTTTTTGATCGTATATCAACCTCGTCTCTTGTTCTCGGTATGTCGCCATTGTTATACTCGTGCTTCGAGTTAAAGGTCACCATTCAGACGATTGTATATAATCTGAACACCGGCCAGATTATTCAATTATGAAATCGGATTTACGCTTGGTTTTTTACATATAGAATGAACACCATGTTAGCCACTATATAAATCGGTGTGTTGAATCGAGCATGCACTATTATCGAAGCATTTCAGAACTATAATACACTGTTAATGGCTTAGTAAAAACATGACTGACTGTCTTGTGTCGTAGCTTTGATATCCAGTGAAAGCAACGTCATATATTGACATCCTATGAAAATAACGTCATAAACTGACATCCTTTGAACGAAACGTTATACGTTGACATCCTCTGAAAATAACGTTAAACATTAAAGACATTTGATCAATATGTTATACAAATTCACGACATTTGAACAATTAATGTCTTGAATTTCGCTTTCTCGATGCTCTGGTCACAATGATAGAGTGATAGAAGATACCGTGTGCTATTTTTATCGTTTTACAGATGACAGATCTGTGTACATCTAGACGAACCCCAGATAATTATTGCGATTTCAAAGTCACCTAAGATAATAAAGGTTTATTGATTGGATGATACTACTTCGTCTCGTCTCGGACCTCACTGGCAAACACTGCCAGAGGTGTACTTTTGTATATAGAGACGATCAAATATGCATCAGCCCTAGTCATAATAGGTCTGAGCGGCGAGATGTTGTACTAGAGGTAACTGCGATCAGAGACACTGACCGAAATCAATGGCGGCCCCGTGTCATATTAATTGTCTCTCTACGTGTGTTTGACTATTGCCAACCTCAACAATGATTACCCCACATAGAGTACATTCATCTGGTGTAAAAAAAAGAATGCCAGAAAATAATTCAAACCCATATCCATGATAATAAGAATTAAAGGCAGTGCTAGTTTGTTTTAGCAATTAAGCATGGTTCTCTGTAATGATACCTGTCGGTGTATATAAATAATATATAGATAAAAATATCCCACATCGGCATTGGTCAGTGGGTATATACTTTGGCATATTTGCATTGACCAACTTTATACAATTTGCCACAAACATAAGCCGGTGATATACACATTGACAAATCAGCATAAGCCAGTTGTATACACATCGACAAATTGACATTAGCCAGTGGTATGCATATGGACAAATGACATTAGTCAGTGGTAAACACATTAACAAATTGACATTTGCCAGTGGTATACACNCACATGAACAAATTGACATTTGCCAGTGGTATACATATGGACAAATTGACATTAGCCAGTGGTAAACATTTGGATAAATTGACATTAGCCAGTGGTTTACATATGGACAAACTGACATTAGCTAATGGGATACATATGGACAAATTGACATTAGCCAGTGGTATACACATGAACAAACTGACATTAGCCAGTGGTATTCATATGGACAAATTGACATTAGCCAGTGGTATACACATGAACAAACTGACATTAGCCAGTGGTATTCATATGGACAAATTGACATTAGCCAGTGGTATACATATGGACAAATTGACGTTAGCCAGTGGTTTACATGTGGACAAACTGACATTAGCCAATGGGATACATGTGGACAAATTGACAGTAGCCAGTGGTATAAACATGGACAAATAACATTAGCAAGTTGTATACACATGGACAAATTGACGATAGTCAGTGGTATATATATGGACAAATTTACAGTAGTCAGTGGTATAAACATTGACAAATTGACATTAGCAAGTTGTATACACATGGACAAATCAATATAAGTAAGTTGTATACACATTGACAAATTGACATTTTCCAGTGTTATACACATTCAGAAATTGACATTTTCCGGTGTACACATATTGACAAATTGATATTAGATACCGGCTTACAAAAAACAACTTCGGCGCCTAGACCTATTAGTCGTGTACATTGTAAGAATAGGTGATATACATAGTCAAGAAGTCAGGTCAACTAACATGTAATTAGTAAGGCTGGCTAATGTTACATGATTTCCTACGTTTAATCGATATGCATCACAGGTAAGATATGCTATTTCAGGTAAAACGCACGGCATATTATTTTATGTGTCGATATTACCACAGATACACGGTGACAACACTTCCTGCTGTTTTGGTTGTACCCCTGCTGATTAGACCTATGAATATCACGATAGTTACTTGTGGTTGAAGTCTTTCTCTGGTACAATATAGCTTACATAATATATGTTCTCTAATGTGTTAATGTTTTCTGTTGTTTCAGGATGAGCCAGTCGGAAGTGTTTCGACCATCAAACGGAGATTTAATTGCGCGGCCAGGTCCCGTCGACGAAGGTTTCATGGCGTCCGTTGACAGTTTTAGGAAGCTTGGAAGTCGCCCTTCTACCAATGGAGGATACCGATTCGGCCAGCTCAGCCAGAACTCGTTCTTCACTCGCCATAATCCTCACCCAAACAGGGTCAGGCACATCAAAGGTAAGCCTTGTGAAATCTTATCACAAATATATCTATCCCATCGAAAATCCTTACGTGTACCTCTTTGAAATCTTGGTGTTTACTTCGTTACAATCCTGATGTTTACATTATTTGGAATTCTGATATTACCTCATTGGGAATCATGATGTTAACTCATTGGGAATTCTGATGTTAACTCATTGGGAATTCCGATGGACACTTCGTTGGAAACCTGACAGAATATGTACCTCATTGTTCACCGTGAGCTGTGTCTGTTGCGTGTCCACAACCGCCAGAGTTATCGTATATATTCCAAAGAATATGAATGCTACTTATTTATTAAGTATAAATAATAAATATTCTGACGACTTCTTTGTGTATTCACACAAGCAAGGAGTCATATGAGAATCAACCCTGCATTGTGTAGTCATGTACACAGTAGCAATCAATAATAATAACAATATCTAGTCTTGTAAATGGTAACATTACTTATTATATCACATTACTAAACGGAACTTGGATTATAGAAATATCACAGTCGTATTAGATCACACTGAGGATTGAATTGATTAAATTAGTTTTTAACTTGGATAACCCATAAAACCACAATGCAGCTTATTCCAATAAGGTATGTTTTCACTAGTCACACTGTCAATGAGCAAAGTGAAATTAAACATTACTCTTTACAGTCAGAGCTCCACTTATCCTTCAATTGAGAGGCAGTTTGATTTGTTTTGTCTTGTACAGTCGAACCCTCCTTAAGTAATTATCTAAGAGACATATGTGCCTTATACAGGCAACCCTCTATAATTACAATGTAATTCATCCGAGAGGCAACCTTGCTTTGAACATTTAAACGTTTTCTAAAGTAATGAATGAGAGACAACCTCGATACCAAACCCTCTCTCAGTATATGATGAGAGAGACCACATTACCTTGTCCAACAAACCTCCTTAGTGGGTAATACTTAATTCCCTTTCCTACTTCCTTTTTATGATATTGTTGAACAGGTACACTGGGTGCGTGGGATGTGCACCTGTAGTTTGATTAAATATTCCTACCATTTTACGAATGATTTATACATCCTATCAAAAGAAAATTTCTAATACGTTTCAAGCTTCATTTGCCGTAGTCGATGTAAGCTCGATCTCAATTGTAACTCGCTAGTTCGCGTTTGGTACTCCTTTCCAAATGTTATGTAACCATTCTAGGTGGATTTAACGCATAGAGTGACACCAAAATGAGTGTGTGTATTACCAGGATCAGCCCAAACGTAAGTCGTAAAGTACGACAACGGCTTGTTAGGCCACGACACTCAGACTGCTTCCTGACAGTTTACATGTCGTCATAGCTACAAGGCATTACCCGCTATTGTTCGTGGACTATTACTTTTAACAAAATAAAAACGTAATTCGGTTGGAATTCTTGTGTGTGTGATTGCCGGATAATACTGTCGTTCCCTATACACACGTGGCCGTGGAGCGTGAAGTCGGTCATTGTCCGTGGACTAGTCTCCCCGTCACGTAGGATCAACCGGTTTATATAATTGCCTGTTTTTAATTGTGTTTAATAAATTCACAATCGTATAAAAGCTTTAATTATACATTTAATATATATACACTATTTATTGTTAGTTTTATTCGGGGGGTGGAAGGCAGATATTACATCTAGGGTAAGATCATGAGATTGTTTTTCTTTGATTGATCAATGCTCTGCATGGACACATGCGGCGGTGAGGTTGGATATAGATCACAATATGGTATCGCGTTTGGAAAATTATAGAAAAAAAATGTGATTTTATTACAAAATATTTACATTGTAGTTCCACCAAAATATTTACATGTTTACTTTACTTGATAAGATGCTTTATAAAACAGGTCACCGTTTTAGTTTTAATTTCTGTGCAATCAAACCTTTTATTTTGGTAAAGTCATCATCTATATCCGAGTATATCACATTGACAGGCGATGAGAAGAACATCAAGACTTTGGTCAGTTTAACAAATGTACACTTGTAACAAAAGACGGACATACAAAAACACACTCTTCCAAATCTACAACGACTCTCATATCAAGGAAATATTATCTTCCCGATATATTTTATTAGATATGTAACTAGATATCACCTCATCTTCTAGCTCAAAAAATTATTACATAGCGCCAAACAATTAGGAAACAGCCACATGAAAGCATTGGGATTGTGTATCGATATGATTAAATTATTTATTTGTGTTCGATGGTGGACTAACACTGCAATCTCTTTGGCCGAAGCGCAAAACTATTTTTTTAAGTAAAAAAGTATGTAAGACAAACATTGTAGCACCTCGCATTATGCAAGTAACCCACTTAATAAATATATTTTACCGTACAGGCCTCAAACCTTCAGTGCTATGTTATTTTGAGGTCGGATTATTGTGTAAAAACACAATTGTACGTAAAATTCTGTCAATATTTGTTTTGTCCGCTAATTTTGTTTATCGAGTGAGCGTGATGCAAGGCCAGGTACAAACTTTCTTTAAGTTGTTTCTTAAAGAAACCTATAGTTTTCTGAAGGGAAATGTTTACCCCGAAAGTAATATCAGGAGATTAGATATGAAAAAAAAAACAATGTAGTGGCAGGCATTATGATATCATTAATGGAACCTGTACATTTTAACAATGTACCCGTCTCGGAGCCCGAATAAAATAAAAAGTCAAATTTAATTTCACTCATTCATCTTTATTAGAATATCACTGTTGTCTTTACGTTAAAAAAAAGAATATTGTAAAATGTAAAATACTAGTTGGTAAGACTAGCCAGAAATGTACCAACAGGTTCACGATGCTTTGTATTGACTTCAGTAAATGTTGAATTTATATCAGATGTACTGAAAAACATTTCTCCAGCTCTAGATCTGTAATATGTAAATATGAATTCTTGGGAAAATGTTGCTCCTATTGAATTACATGCAATATATGGTGTCCGTATATGACGTTTGTCCTGCTAGGAAACATGCCTAAACATGCCTAATACTTAATCAAACCCAATGTTCACAGGCTCCTTCCTCAAGGTGATATACTTGAAACGGCTGTAAAAAAACCCGGGATTTCATATTGTATCAAATTTCTGTTTTACAGGTCTTTTAGATGTGCCTATCTGTGCTGTGAATGACAATGGCTACTTTTCTAGTCCAAAGTACTCCTTGCAATTCCCTCCAAACGCTTTTAACAACAACAAGATGAACAACCACGGCAAGGTTCCCGTCAACGCCATCAACGTTAACTCTCAGCTCCACCCCATCAATACCGTGACGGGGCTACAGTACTTCACCGGCCTACAGAGCTACCCCTGGAGGGAAAAGGCCATCCCCAAAGTCGGCATGGGTGAGTGAGCAATTTATCATTGACAACAACATGTAGAGTGATGCTCCCTTCCCTGTCCATGTGTATTTGAAACGTTACCTGAAATAGAATCTATTTGAGTTCTAGAGTAAGTATGAGCAAATAATTACTTGGCATTGAATAGTTACTGATTATTTTCAAGCATTCAAACGTTACGTAAAACAACCCGTTTTATAGCAGTTGTAGAAAATAATAACCAAGGTCTGAAAGCTAATACAATTGATATTGCACTGCCATCATTACATTAAACAAGGAGGGTAAACAAAGAGCATGATTGTTTATATGGTGTTAAACCGTTACCACGTCCAATTCAACTACAAATCCAAACAGAAAACCGCCTTTCAATATTTAATGTCGTTTAAATGAGTCCTTGGGGGCATTTTCGTGCGATGCAGTGTTGAGGTTTTTCAATTTGATTATAAATCACACCTTGAATGAAATTGGTATTATGGTGGATACTTCTGTAAACCTACGTTCTTAAATCATTAAACTATATTTTAGTTTGAACACTAACGTTTGCGCCGATTCTGACGATTATCCCTATCTGCTTTTTAATTAGCGAGCGGGACACCTCGAACTGACGTTAGGGGTAATGTCAGGTCGATCGGGTCGCTTAGGTACTCGTACAGCTACAATCATTTGTTGCGGTGATGCAACCAAGGTCTGTATGGAATTAAGTCACGTGCTTTTAGTGCAGACCATCACTCAACGTAGTCCAGCTTGGAAGTTTGAGAACACGTGACAATTTCACAGAATTTCGGAATGTTTCCACAAATAATTAACGTTTTGATGTGATATGAGTAGACTGACATTTTAGAGGCAATTGTGAGTCCAAAGGACACATAATAATTTACGTTAGAAGTGCATTGGAGTTATCCTTCTTACCACGTCGTGATATTAATACTCATTCCGCCATAGCTAGCACCAGCCGAGTTTGTGGATTGTGGATTGTGTTTCTTGAAAAGATATACATGCATAATATTGGACATCTGAAAACAAAGATATAGGACTTACCTACTTCTTTATTTTTCGATTGTATATATTCCAGTTAATTCTAGGACTGATTCGCATATTTAATTATTACAAATCATATATAGTGAACACGTAAAGAGCTCTACATATCGCTGTGCCAGGATATGCAAACTTTTAACAACTTTAAGTTTCGTAGCGAGTTTTGTGTTTTAGGTTCTAGTTCTAGGTAATAAAATACAGTGACAAATCAAAACATATGAATCGTGGGAGTTATTTTTATGACTTTTTTTGTACATAAATAGTTATATAATGTTATGAATGTCATAATGTCAATATTGTCTTTGTCTGTAATAAACAGTTAAAAATGCTGTGTTTTCTCTTCTGTCTTTGTCTTTCAAATCACAAGGATTATTATAATTGATCACAGTGCAAATCCATATCAAGTTAAAAAATATGATATAATGAGTATTATTTTAATCATTGATGAATGAACTCTCTTACAAATGTATCAATTACCTGAGCAGGGGTTATCCGAGTACTTTGACGGTCTTTTCCAGGACCCATGTCAGATCGAAACGTAGGTGATTTTTCCAAATTTACCCTAAACAAATTATGCATAAATTAACATAAAATCTTCACAATTGATCGAGTTCTCAACATGCAGCATATGTATAAAGACTTGAATTATAGTGGTGTTCTTGAGGTAAGCTTTAAAGTCTAAAAGTCTGATATGCTGTTTTCAAAATTGTCATAATGATCATCCACATTTCCCTGTGTTTAATCTGAGGTTAATGATTTCCCATTTTCATCCCAGGGTCCGTTTTCCGAAAAAATACCGGATAAACCTTTGCTGAGGAAAACCATTTCAATTTTTACTGCTTTATATAAAAAAAAATGTTGTACTCTATATGTATACTTAATAAAACTTATAGGTACATAAATGTGCACAAGTAATAAAATAGACCTATAGAATTAGTTGTTGAATTAGAACGCATGTTTCGTTGGATGCGTTTGGTATCGGACCTGTTTCGTTAAGGTCAGATTTGATGTACAACGATACATCATGATTTTTTTTCTTCTGTTTCCATTCAGTTCCTGTAACAGAGGCGTGGAGGGACGAACTCCAGCAGCTTACACGAATCCTGATGGGGGAGGAACAACAACAAAAACCGCAGGCTCTTTTGGCACCGAAGGAACCCGAACGACCACGGACCCTTTACTCCGCGGAAACGGGTCGACTTATACCCCCACCTTCCCGTGCAATGTCACGTGGGGCTTCCCGGCGTGCATCTCGACAGGGCGCACGTGAACCACTGTTACGTCACATAGCAGCACAGCCAGATATGGAAAGCATGGTGAGTGTTCAGGAACTACTTCTAGAGATATAATTCGCAAATTCCAAAGGATTGATAAACATATAGAAACGTCTGTTTTTACGAAAATTTAAGACACTCTCCTAGAGTGGAGACATATCATATTCCTCTTTGTCTAGATTCTCCTTCTTCTATCCTAAACGATGATCGTGAACTCATCTAGGCTGATGTGACCCTTATTATGGTCATCTGTTTGTTTTTTATCACCTTGTACATTTGTAAAAGTATTTATTTAGTGCTTTCTATTTTTTTGACTTTTTAAAAAATACCCATTATGATGTCCAGGCGTTACGTTGTCCTGCCACACATTGAGTATTGTTGTTTATGAAGTACTCTCGTACCTGTGTGCACAACTGATACCATATTTCGTCTGTTGTGTAGGTGTTGTCCATGCTGTGTCAGATCCTCCAGACAGAGGACATTAACGCGGTCCAGGCTTGGCTATGTTCGGCAGGGGAGCGAGGTATAACCGTTAATAACATTAAAAATAAGATTTTGTCAACAGAAAAATTACTCTAGAAAAGTGCTCGTTCAGTTTATTGAAAAAAATCGTTCTTCAGATTTTAATGTCAAATTTAAACATTCATAAAGTATAAACAACTTGGTTGTGGAAATTTTTTATAGAAACATCTTTATAGTATAAACAACGATGTGTGGACATTTCTACAGACACTACAGTTAAATTAGACCACTATTGTAAGAAAAGTTCTGTACCATTTGGCAAAATGACTTCTTTATACGAGGCAAACTGTCTGCCTCTTTTATTTACTGAACTTACCAGAACTTCTGGCATTGGTACAATGAAAACAATTGCATACAAATACTATGGGTATTTCTACAGAGAAAATAGTTAAATAAGACCACTATTGTTTTCAAATAGCCATAAAAATACCTCTATGGGTATTTCCAAAGAGAAGACACAGCAAAAACAGTAACTCTTTTGGGTATTTCTATAGAGAAGACATAACATAAACAGTATCTCTATGGGTATTTCTATAGAGAAGACATAGCATAAACATCATCTCTATGGGTATTTCTATAGAGAAGACATAGCATAAATAGCATCTCTATGGGTATTTCTATAGAGAAGACATAGCATGAATAGCATCTCTATGGGTATTTGTATAGAGAAGATATTACATTAACAACACCGCTATGGATATTATTTTAGAAAAGACGATGGTGATGGACATGATAAAAGCGGCCATGGGGTCTAAGGAGACTTACTACAGACATGACTACAACCCCGAATTTATGGATGAGCAGAGAACTATCCTGCCCCCTATCGGCGAAGGTCAGAAACAAACTATGCCTGGGGATATGGAGAGGACAATTGACAGGTATGTAGTATGGTGAATTGTGTCAGGGTTGTTTCTCTAACAAACATTTATTAGGCCTGAAACGTTCATTTTGTGTGTGGATCATCCTCTAGACAGTGGGTGTGCAAATACTTCATTTACAAAATTTATATAAGTTACTTTGAATACAATTCTTTACTTTACTTGACTCAAACACATTAGGGTAGGCTATCGTAAAACTATACCAGTAGTTTGACAAAAATCAAAAATTAAATAAATAAATAAAATTTAAAGATTTTTAGCCTAACCTTATTATTCAAAATGAACTTATTTAGATCAATGTATGCTCTTTTTGCAGTTTCAGCGTTGATCATCATTTAACAGACGATTTTTAATATACATATGTACACGTTTCTTAGTGTGGCATTACTACTGTTGGGTAACGAGGCCCTTCCTCCATCTGCTATATATCCGTGTACGTTGTGTGTTACAGGCTCATCCTGGAGGATAACGGAGTCCCGGGGGAGCCACAGATGCAGTCCATGGGGCCTAAGGCTCCACCCAAACCCGTCATTACTGATCAGGATGGTGGGTACTACGTCACACACACCCTTAACATTTGATAAAACATACTAACACACGACTGAATTACAAATCAAAGCAATTGTTTGGATAGAAGTAGGTTCTCTGTAGTGTTGTAGATGATTAACATCTTGTGTGAAACGTAAATGGTAAAACTGAACTTCCTTTATTATATCCTAACAATATTTTTGGGGCTTACTTTATAAATTGGTGTAAATAGTTGTTTTGAGGTAAGTTCATATTTTTAAAATTACGAAAATCGTTGCAAAATGCGGTCTGCCAGTAAATCATTTTAAAAACAATTCGGAAAATGCTTTTATATTATTCGTAACAAGATTAATCAGAATTACTAATTTGAACATGCATGTCATAGTCCGTTTACAATTTAGTATTTTATATAGGAGTATGGTGTAATTTGTTTCCGACCAGTCATAGTTAGCGGCTGAATATGAAATATTATTGAAAATTAGATCAATTCGTGATTTGATATAAGCAGATTACAATTGAACGATTGTCTTGATTAGAAGCGTGAGTAAATGACAGTGTTAACCTGTGTTTTGGCCTCTGACATGTAACACATGTTCAGACTGTAGTCTTGCTGGTTTTCCAGAGTTTGAGTTCCTCCCGGAAGTGCTAGGTTTCCAGGAGGTAGGAGGTATACAATGATTGTGCTGCTTATATGTCGCTTATTATGTCTCCACACAACAGTCAGAACAAGCAGCACCCCTATTTCTGTGATTTACGTTATCAACATCGGTTTATCATAAATCGCACTGAAACGTTTGACATGAACAAAGCAGCACTAGTAATTTGATTTGAAACAATTTACGTAATTAGGCAGACATCAGCTATATATACTAAGACAGGTGGCCTTCCCAACAATGTGTGTTAATCATTAAATCACAAACACAGCACCAATTATATGGTTTCCAAGGAGAGATCGGTACCTACTCCAAAACGGGTCACTCTTTACAAAATACTTTTAAATCCACAGTTAATATTGTAGCTGACATAGCCTTAGTATGCAAAGTCATGGTCTAGCTATATTCATTTTTTGCTAAGAGCTTATTAATTAAAGATTTAATTCTACAAATGATATTCCCTGCATCCCACGGGACACCTAAAATATTTCACGGAAATTCAAGCGAGCCATTCACCACTGATCACTGCACTACATCTGTTTAACACGGCGTCTTACACTACACTACACATGGTATCACCAGACTGTTCTTAACATTAGATCCGTTAGTGTTTAGGTGAGATCCGCCTCGAATACCGCTGATTTATCACGTAATATCATATGATCCTACAAAATAAGGAACTATACAGACACTTTACGCTATGGAATGTGTTTGTATCACTACACCTCACCACTGGTTTATACTCACCTGTTTTGCCACATATGTGCAAGTAAAAGCCTATCACGTGATGTGACACATACCTTTTGACTTTCGTAGTGTTTTGCTGAAGAGTTGTGTTGCTTATAATCCGAAAATTTGAACATGTAATTTTATTTCATTTGTATAACAAAACTAAATAACTTTAAATAAATCAGAGGCATAACAGCTTAACTTCAGCTAAGGTGGTGGCGTAACATCAAATATATACATATATCTGAAACTATGATTAATACAGGCGGTAATTACTGTACATGTATGGGTACGAGAATATACTATTTAACAGGTTTTTAACTAAAAAGGGATTGCTTTCGTCGGAACTTATTTCAAATGATGTGGGATCTGTGTCATACAAAATACAAAAACTGTGAACAATATTACAATTTCACTAATTTTCATATATTTCTATTTTTATGTGTTTTAGCATCTCATTCTTAATTATCAATCTGCTCATGCAAAAACGTTTCCAACCATTAGGTCAGGTATTTAGGCTTACTTAAAAGATTTTGTATAAACAGTTCTACTGTATTTTTACCAATTTATGTTTATAAAGTCAGTTTCTCTCTAATCGCTATTTATATTGATTTCGATATAAAATCTTAAATCCCAATCTTTGGTGAACCTGTGATATTTCTATTGTTTTCGACACCTTCATATTGTAATTTGTTGTAACTCTGTTAGTTACGCTATCTTTTAATGTGTAAAACGATATCTTTCGAATTAGTGTAATGAACAAATTCCCTTTTATGATATTTATAATTGCTTCCTTTCCACGTTTGATTCAATACAGTCAAGTGATGGTTCTCCTAACAGCGAGTTTAAGGGGTTTGATTGTGTGTGATGAAAGGCAGTGTTTGGAATAGATAAATATACATGTAAAGTTACGTTTGTATCGCGTATATGTAAGTAACGTTTCCTTTGCATTGTTCTTGCCAAAATAGTTAACGTTGCCTTTTTATCTTGTCCTCATAAATACCTTTGCATCTATCTTGTCTATATATATAACATTTCGTGATAATTTTTATTCCTATTCAAATGTAACTTTGTAGATATTTTGTCTATACTGCGTTTCGTTTCGTTTGTAGAACTTACGACCAATATCCGTCCACCAGTAAGCGAAGCATTCAAGAAACAATTCTCACGCCCGCCGACCAATGCCGGAAGACGGTCCCCAATCAAGACCGAGGCTCCACCTGCCCCAGGAACCTCGTTCCGGTTTACCACATCCGCGCAGGGCAAAAGGGAAGATGCTGCAGCTAACCAATCAAAACCAGCGCCAGTAGATCAACAACGAGCGGATGTGACAAGCCCTAATACATTTTAATATCAAACAAGTACAAGAGACAATCTAACCATTTTGTAAAATGAACACTTTACTGCTGATTCGAGGAGAGATACAAGAACGTCCTGTTAACAAATGGAACTTATACACTGTACTTGTTTGAATATTTTTGCATTGAAGATCACTTAATATTTTCGTATTAAAGATCACACAAGATTGACCAGGACTTGTTTAGGCTGGGTTTCTGGAGGTTAATTTGTGTTATATTTTTTGATCAAGATTGACCTTTAACCTTCTCATACAGGACAAATATAAGAGTGAACTATTCGTTCTTAATATTCTAAATATTACTGACCTTCATAGGTAAAAATCTACATCGAGGCCCTACCTTATCATTTAAGATTACAGGTCATTATTTTATTGTTGGAACATGAACAGGGTATTTTCTGAATGGTATAACTGAAAATGACTTAAAAGTGAGTCCAGATTATAATTTATTGATAAATTGAAATATGTTATCAAATGACATATTTATCATTGATCAGGCCGTTTTTTTCTCACAGTTATGAATGTGAAGCATACATATAGTTAAGACAGAAACAGTATTTCCAGGTTTGTATAAGTATAAGAAACTGAGGATTTGCCCTATTAAATATACGAAACGTATTTCAACTGAGTGGTGGAAATAACGGTCTGGTAATGAAACAAGTCGTCGACGTTTTGACATTTATATTGGAACTGCACAAACTTATAACCACATTGACACAAACTTGTAGATGTTTTACGATCTTAAATTATTTTATATGTTTTTGCATACTTTAATATGTCTGTTTTCATGTGATAAAACACATTTAATATCATTGTAACACAACTGATCATGTTTTATTACCACTGTCGTACTGTGTGACCATGTGTTAGATAACATACTCGCTATGAAAGGGAGGTAACTTCTTGAAAGGGAGGTAACCTCTCACATAAACGCCGTCCAAGGAATCTGTGATATATTTTGTATATATATATATATATATTAGAATTAGAAAACAAATACTATAATACATAAGTTATTGTTATGCGCCTTTACAACAGTATTACTTATATAGGTCTGTTTCGTCTAGTTTTTGTGATGTGTTTATTGTCGTATATATATACTTTGTAAATGTGTATATATAAATCTGGGACGAGACAAAAGGCTGTGTGAATGAGAATGCTCAAGGCAAATCCTAATTACAATAAATACTGTACTTGCTCAACTGTTATATATCCGTGACATTAAACGCTGCAGTGTTGTATCATCACAAAAGAGTTGTCGTTTGTTTATAAGGCAGTTTGTAGAACTTTACACAACAACAAAAGTGTTGACAGATCACTCCCTACACTAAGTCCCAATAGAGGAAATTCAACATAGCCAGTTACCAACCATCACTTCACGAACCTAAGAACAACATCAGAAAGGGTTATGTATCAACTTTGTTATGCTAAGCTATTTTGAAAAATACATGAAGTGCCTCAACAAAATATATTTTACAGGGTCAAATAAAGTTCTGTGAGAATTTGATTGGACAAAGAAGAAACACAAAATGAAAAAAATGAAGTATTCCTCTTTATTGCACAACACAGAGCATTAAGAAAAAGGACGAGAGTATAAAAAGGAGCTCAGAAGAGAAAGAAGTGTGACAAGGAAGAGAACACAGTAATCACGAAAGTACATATATAATTAAGATCAAATAAAGAAATAATGCCAAAGGAAAAAAAACGCAAAGGAATATGGAAATATATCTACGGAAAATAGAAAAGAGCAAACGCTTGTCATCATTTATACACAGAGACCTTTGGCAAAGAAACATAGGCAGAAATATATTCAACATAATTAAACAGTGTATCTGTGAATATACAAAAGCAAGAAGTGGAATATTTCAATATACATGAAGAGATCAAGAATATTTATGACGCCTAAAGGAATACAAAAGGTCGGCAGTTTACAGGGTACACACGAGATTTGCGGAACATTTTTAGTATATTGTTCAACCTATATTCATCGAGTAAACAAAAAGCGGTATTTATAGGAAGGGAAATAACTCCTTGTAAACTACAGATAGTGATGAAGACCAATGTTAGGACGTCGAGTAAAAGGACTGCTTTTCTGTGTAAGAAATAGTACGGATTTATACAGGTAAATCAGCGAGTCTTCAACTGATTCGAGTTTTAGACAACGGCACTATACTAATAAAATATATGACCTGTAACTGAGCGAGATCGGGTTATGGTCGAGGGTTAAGATTCTGTAACAAAATCCCAACCGAGGCATAAGCCTCGGTTAGGATGTTACAGAGACTGCAGCTCGATCAAAAATATTTTTTTGCTAAAAACATCAAGTATCCCGTCTGGGGCCTCAAATGATAATGATCTCTTCACTACTTAAGCTACATTTGAATGCTTCCGCGTAAACATGCTGTCCGTTCTTACATAGATGACAATGTATTTCACAGTATAGATTATATTTTATCTACAACATAAGATATCTAACAGCATCAAAACTCTACATATAACAATAAAACAGATCATTTATAATGCAGATTGTTAATTTCAAGCAGTTAACTCGCTGATGAATACATCGCAGTGTAAAAATTCCGCGAAATGTCACGTAAAGGTGCAAGACAGATCGGACGAGATAGAAAAATCTAGCACGGGGTATGACTTGGGATATCTTTGTCTGAGGTGCGAGAAACAGACAAACACAAATTTCACTAAATATGGAAGCGGTAGATGACATAGAGATTGACTGCAACCCTCCACCTCTACTTGCGGCGTTGCTGTACTATTTGAGCAAGAATGTAAGGAGAACATCTTTTTGTAAAGGATTGCTTGTTATACTCTGACATTTTAGGTAATTTGTTTCAGAGCATTCTTATTTCGAGGAAATAACGAAAACTGTTATTACTTATCTCACTGGAGAACAAAACTATCATTTAATCATTACACTTTTTTTTATAAATCATACCATGTCTTTCAAACCTCCTAGATTTATATATACTTTTTAAGTGGATTAAGTATATCAAGCAGTTTTACCACTTATTCCATTCCATTCGTTTTGTAAGTTTATAGTATACTTTTACTCTTACCATTTCCTATGCATTTCTGTAATATTGCTTTTGCAATCGACAAATAAGTTTGTAACACGAATGAAATGTTTAATAATCTGGTTCCATAACTGTTTTATTTACCAGGATAAATGTTGCTAAACAAACTGGATTATTTTTACTCAGTTAATTATAGAATTCCATTGTCCCAACCCATCGCATTATGCAAAATAATTGGTACGTGGAAGTAGGAGAGAATGACATTGGTAGGTCCATAATCTTAAGGATGTTACATCCTCAAAACAATTTGAAATCGGATTTCAGGCCTCCTTGTTGACGCCAATATTTTTAAACCTGTTTTAAATCAAGGTTCCATTGTTTATACGTACAGTTATACATGGTTTTGTTTGGTTTTGTTTAACGTCCTATCAACAGCTTAAGTCATTTAAGGAAATGCCACCATGTGTGTCGTGTATGAGGGCATGTGTATGTGTGCCGGAGACAGAGTATGTTGGTTTAATTGCCTTCTTGTGATAGCGCGAATCTGACGCCGAATCTCACTGAAATACCATGTCGAAAGCACCCAGGACAGCATTCCGTCCGGTCAAATTATACCGACAACGGGTGAACAAGTTGTTGCCATTACCTTAAATGCTGAACGTTAAGCAGGGAATAACAACCACCATTTTTAAGGACTTTGATATACGTACATGATCCAGGAAAAAATAATCATAGCATCAATAGTTTATATAATCGTTAGATAAACCTTCGTCTACCAACAAAAACCTTGTTATAAACAAGCTTCAATACTTACTTAATCATAAGTCAGACAATGTTCAGACATTCCACCATATTATGTGAGTGCATGGTGGAAATCATTGCGTGTAGTCAAAATCAAATAACGATATCTGATTGATAATTGTCGCATGACAGATCTAGTAACCATTACAAATATCTTCATTCCGCAAAATGTAGCTGTTCTATCAATTGGTATAACAATTTGTTTAAAATAAACCACATTAATCTGCACAGAAGTATTATGTTTCTTTGGTGTTATGAACGTGAAGATAAGAATCGAAGTGAATCTTTGTAACTTTGAAAAAAGAGGCTTTCCAATGCACACCTTCAAGGTCAAGTTGTAGACAATGATATGACAGAATGATGTTCTGATGAAGATCATATTGCCACAGTAAACGTCCGAGAGATATTAGTATAATGTACACGTGTATGGATTTACAAAAGCAATAGTACATTGTATTTTTATCTATAATGATAACGATCTTTGCTCACTTAAACGTGGTTGGTTTTATACAATGATGTAAATGAGATTTCACATTCACTGTGTCAAATAAAAGGGCAGAAATATTGGAATCCTTGACATGTTTGTAAATCAAAATCAAAATAGACTTTCAGTTTTGTCAAGGCAATGAAACAAGATTAAAACCGAAATGTGTGTCTGGTTGAAAGTTACCATCGACGCGCCGTTGAATTGTTTTTGTATGCGATATTTGATAGGCAGAGTTGCACGAAAGGTGACTATGAAAGCCACGTGTTAAGGGTACCTCATGTCTTACCGTAAATTAGATCACCTCGTATTATGTAGGAATTGCATGTAACAGTTGATGTGCTTTTATTTTGATGTCACGGAATCACAAATTTAAGCCCAATAATAATTGGTTTAACTTTTTTAATTTGAATGTTCATTGGGTTATAAATTGCAGTAGTTGTGGAATTGCGTGCTAATCCAACAGCTAGCGTTCTTACCTATTGGAATCCGCTCCTTCCAATTATTTCCCTGCGCCTACATGAAGCTATACCAAATATAGCCACTAACACTGTTAAAATAATTCATGATGAAAAAGTCCTGGAATGAAGGTAACGACAGCGTGGAAGATATCATTGAATTTCAAAGGCGGACATCACTTGAAAAAGAAACGTAATCCAACTGCATGGCAACATACAATACAAAATGTAACATTGCGTGCGTCTTTGAAGTTGAGAAAGTATTTTCGTCTCAATGAAGAGCTGTCGTTTTCGCTTAAAACGGTGGGTAAAACGGTGTAAATGTAAAATTAGTGATATTGCTGCGACTGGAATTCTGATTGAAATTTGTTACATAAGGCATCGCAATCTCGACTTATGAGTTAGACATTTTGAGTAACAGATTTAAGCCCCAGAAAATAAATGTTTCCAAAAAGAAGTAAAATTTCTTAATCTTATTCTTTTAACTCAGAAAGCCGATTTTAGTTACCCCTACCCCCTATTTTTTAATGAAAAAATACTCATTTTTTACCATTTTTTGCAGATTAAACGCTTGATATAAAAAGTTTTGGTATTAAACTTTTTTTAATATTTAATGAATTAAAAGAAAATGTGTTTCTCTTTCTAAAACATCCATAGAAATGGAGGGTCGGTGTGCTTCTTTTTTTGTCCCATTATCATTTGTGTCAATTTTTACCTTTTTAGTGTTATAGTCCCATTCAATTAATTATATTATGCAATTATTCATACTGGAGTCCTCGAAATATGCAATTAAATGTGTAGTGTATAAAAGAAACTTTTTTAAATACAATAGATTCCTCTTAATTGCACAGCTAATTAGTTAAATAAGTCAGTCATATGACTTTAAGTTTCAGTTAAAATATATTATCATCATCAAAATAAATACACTGGTTCCAATGCTATTAAAGGACTATAATTTACAAATAAGTATGGAATTAAGTTGAATCAAAATGATCATCTTATCAAACTAATGATCTTTTTTAACAAACAATTCTTTGTTTCCATTATTTTTCTTAGTATAACATATTTAAATCTATCCTGGTCCTTAATGTCAGATCAATTTATTGTTAAATTAATTAAGCCTTATAATTTTGTATCATCTTCATGCTTATCAGTTATGATGCTTTACGATCATTAGTCAGACAAGCTGATTTC